AGTTATAAAAGTAGTCAGGAAGAAACAGTGAAATGGAGCGAAGGGTATGTTGTGAGGATAGCACAGCTGAGTATATAAGTTTGTATGTTTATTTTAAAGTGAAGTGTTGATATCTTGAGTGTTCTGTTTCCCCTCTCTTCCTCCAGGAGAGGGAAGGATGTTCTGATATTATCCTACTGCTTTTATCCTTCTTTCCAGTTGCTATTGCCTGTGCTTAAAGCTGATGTTTTTCCTGATCAGAGTACTCCACCTTCTCCACAAAGTGCCCCACTGCACATCAGTTTTGTTGAAGTAACAGCAAAGAAGAGAGCATCATTCTGCAATTCACACCTAATTTCTTTGAACAGAGAAGGGAGAAGGGTAGAGAAGTCTGAGGAACCAAGAGTGAGTGTGCTGGTAGACATGTGATGGGACGTAAGATGAGTTTTTACTACTGAAGCAGAAGCACCAGATCTGCTTGCAGGTCAGGTCCTGAACTGCTCCCATTATCAGGCACATCCCATTATCATATTAAGGTAATCTCTTTGCTAGGAGTTTGATGTGGTCACCGGTTGACCTGCAAGCAGGTCTTCTGATAGTGTGATTACTTTTACCTCTTGAGTTATTTTTGTCATGGCCCTTTTTTCTGAGCTGATGTAGCTAGGATGTGATTAAATGATCTCTCTAATTTTTTTTGGTATGTACAGATTTCATAAGCAAGAAATAAAACTATCACTCTAAATTGGGAGTGTCCACCTTGTTGCAGTGAAAACCTCTGCAAATTATGAGTTATTTAGGTGTGACTGTCATGCAGGACTGTTTTACATTGCTACGTGACCTACCACGTTAGCATAGCCGTAGTTGAATATGTTGCACTGGAAGAAGCAGAGGCTGCTAGGGAAGCTGAAACTGGTGTCACCAGATCACCCAGAAGCTTCCATTTGCATGCCTAGATCAGCCTGTTGCTGAATTAGTAAATTTGCCCATCATAAGAACTTGTAACCTCCTGCCAGTGAATCAGAGCGTCCTCTGGCCATGATGCTCTGAGGTGTGTCTTGTGCCTGCTGAGCGTGTGAACAGCTTGGTGTATGGCATCCAGGTAAGTTGGGTACCAGCCTTCCCAGAGGGGGGGATCTAATAGCATCCAGTTTCCTCGATTTGAGACCTCACTGAATTGAATTTGACAGCACTGCAACGTAAACAGAAAGGAAAGACCCATATTAACAGCATTACCTGTTACTGTGAACAGGGCTGTGAAGAAACCAAAACATGGCTAAAAGCACCCAGTTTAATGTTCTGTACCCAAGTAATGTTTGCAATGTTAGACTGTAAATCTGCATTTTAAATATTTTCCCTCAAATCTCTGCTTACTTCGGCTTGCTGTGTTGTGCTCTGCCTTTTAACTTGCTTTCTTTGCTTGACTTCATTGTGCCTTTTTTTTTTTTTCTTTAAACAAAGCAGCACCTATTCAAATAAAGAGATTCCTCACTTGCTGCATTGTGGCAGACAGGACGTTTATCCTCTCAGTCTTACATTCTACCCATGTATCAGCTTGAACGTATGCTGTGGAATTTGGAAAGCTGTGTATAAAATATCTGAAAACACTCGGTACTTCAGCTTCTGCGACTGAAAATTGCCTTCCAAGTGGGTTCTGCACCACTTCCCAGGTGCTGGCTAGTGAGTGCCCTGCGGAGGGGAAGACCACCCCCTCTGGTGCTCTGCAGACCCCAGGAACAGCAGTGTCTTTCTGAGGAGGACTAGGAGTCTCTTAGCTACTCTCCTCTCTTCAGGTTGCTTCAAAAGGGGCATGCACATGACCTGGCACTATGGACACTTTTTTTCTGCATTGCTCTCCCTGGTAGATCACTCAAGTGCTTGCCTTCACTGTGGTCCCCAGATCTCTTCTGCACCAGCAGACTGAGAAGGAGTCAGAGACTGCACAGTCTCTGCTGCAGGGAATTCTGCAAAGTTAGCTACAAGAAACAGCAGGGAGTCAGAGACTTTCTGGAGACCATGAAGAGTACTGTATCATTTCCTTCTGCAGCTATAATATACATTAGGTCATCTGCTTCACCTAAAAGCAGATTGCCAGAAATTAAAGGCTTGCCCTGGGAGGGCTCTTCCTCTGCTTGTCCACAAGCAGATGAATTCTTAGACATACTCTCAAAGGGAAAAGGGCAATGTTTCTGCAGGATTCAAAGCACTTAACTGTTAGCCCTCTGTTGTGTAAGGTCTATGAAAATTTCCAGAAACACAACAATAAAGCAAAAATGCTCCATCCTCAGCAGGAGAGCTGTGTGGCTGCCCAAAGACTGGGTGTCTCCTGTGAACCCTGAAGAAGACTCTAGAGAATTCAGTTGAAAGTTGCCATTCTTACCTGGTTGTAATAACAGTTGTACCATAAGTTTGTAGCTCTCGGTTCCTCGCTGTGAATGTCTCATACGTGAATAGCTGTTTGCCGGCCTTACATGAACTGTATAAGCCTTTTTTCGAGATTACTGAAATGGGCAGTGCTGAAGTGAATGATGCTGCAGTTAAACCTGTTGCATCCTCTTAGACTGAGCCATCTGAGCAAACAAAATAGTTTCTCGCTCTTTCCTTTGCTTTAAAATAAAATATCCCGAGTTTTGTGTTTAATGCGAACTAATTATGAATAAGAAAAGATAGGGGGGGTATTATTATTTTTTTTAGTTCTGTACAACAGTATGGCTATGTATTTTATCATGAGTAAAAAATTTGGGTCCATTACATGTAAACACATGTAACTTACCGTAATACTTAATGTTGTACATAGAAATTGCTTACAGTAACAGTGAGCGGGTGTTCCTCTGGGATTAAAAAGTGAACTAGATGCAATCTCATTGAAATAAAAAATAATACTGATTAGCTGTTATATTTGGCAGTCTCAATCATACATGCTTTTTTAAGGGAATGATCCTTTATATTTGTTTTTACTCATGCAATAGTCACAAGTGAATGCTTTGAATTATGGGTCTGATTACACTGAGATTTTGACTTTGTACACTAAAGTGGAAATTTTTACAAGTTGAAGTTATATATTTCAAACCCTGTTTCTTGTGTGGGGCAGCTCTTACAGTGTCCAGGGCAGATTCTGTTTTCCTCTTGTTCTTATTTTCTTACATTTTAAAAAAGCACAGATACCATTCAGGACCTTCTGGTTTAGTGATTTGTTGTATTGGGCCTTTTCCCTTCCTCGAAAAAAGCCTTTGCCAGAAACTGCATAGTAGAGTCTTAACTTGAAATTAAAGAAAACGGTATTTATGGACCTACTGTGTAACACTGCTGGAAAAATGTACACTTTAAAAATGAAGCTTTAACTCTATAAGTGAGAGTAGGAAGATAATTTTTTCTTTCAGTGGAATTTTTGCACCTGAACTGTAAGATTAGACCCTCTGACTGCTACTTTACACTAAATAGTGTTTGGTACCTAGAGTGTCAGCAATAAGGTTATAAATTCTCCTAGAACTTTAAAGAGAAAACTACTCCTACAGGTTTTCAAAATTTTGTTTGAATTTCTTGGATGCGGTTCAGAATATACTTGTCAACGGGCTTGTTACAAAGAATGTTCAGTTAAAATTTATTGTGCATGCTTTTTTTTTTTGTGGAAAAACATTAATTCAAATAAGTAATGTGCTCTTTATTGTATGCTGGATGATCTCTTGTTCATATATTTACCGAGTATCTCAGTTTGACGATATTTGGGTTCTTGCCTTGAAAACAAAATTTGATCAACAGTGCAGTTGCATTTTTTTAAGAAGAACAAACAGAATGAATGTAAAACATACATCTTTATGTGAGCTTTTTGCCTGGCATTACAATACAAGGTGTTTCCCATCCGGTATCACAGGTTAACGGAGAGGTGGACAGATTTTTCCAGAGGTGCTCGTAAAGATCTTCTATAAGGATCAATATGTGACTTGGCATACTAAATTATATTAATCAAGATCTGAATATTATTTAGATCTTCCTGATGAAATTCCCAGGTGGTCCAGACTAGGGAAGTTGATAGTAAGTGGGTAAACCTTCCAAACAGCATGTTGGGTTTTGGTGAATGGAGGCACTTCGAAGAAGAGTGTATGTTTAATGCAGCTAACTTCTAGAAACAAGGAGTACAGGTGTTGGTATTGGCAAAGCAAGGGAGGGAATGCTACCTAGAATGTACTGGTTGGAAAAACTAAGCTTCATTAGATAATGAAAGTATTTATTAAAGATAATTAAACAGCTGCGTGGATTCTTCAATTCAGAATTGAAATGGTTTAATTCATTTCTCATCTTATATTTGAAATAAAAGTAATTTAATTAATCCATTTTAAAAGCCTACTTGGATTACTGCTTCAGCATCTGGCTTTGTAGTCATGCTCTTAGAAGGTTATTTCACTAGTAGGCAATTACCTTTTGTAGGGGAAACTACAAGGTTAAAGGGTGGCTTTAATGTAACAGGAAAAAAAAAAACGTAACAAAAGCTGCTAGCTGGAAGCTAATGACCAATTTAAAGACAATTCTCAACCTCATGCTTTTTTTTTTTTTAATTCTTGATGGTTAAAATCATGGCAAATGCTTGAGATCTTGTTCCTGATCTAATCCAGGAAAATCTACCATTTTAGATTGAATGATAACAAGTGTCTGGCTGAAGCACATCTTTTTTCATTGGATGTATAAAGTTAAATGGTGTTTTTGTACATCTGTGGTTCTTCTTTACCTTTAATTATATTAATGTAGGGATCTTGTGGATGTAGGTCATCTTCCACGGATCCAGTTCTTGGGCCGAGGCACAGGAACAGAATAGCTTTCTTTAAGCCCTCATTAATTAATATTCACTGCTTTGTTAATAAGTCAGTTGTATTCATGATGAGTACTGATGCGATGGTGGGGTGTTTTTCTGTTCATAGTACTAACTCGCTGGCAGTTTTTCTAGTAAATAGCTAATTACTGCAATGGATCTCATCGCTGCCTAATGCAATGAAAATAAATAATAAAGTAATACTAAATTTCTTTTTTAGGTAATAATCTACGGGGATTTGCCAAAAAATAAAGAAAATGTAATATATTTATCAAATCATCAGTGTACAGGTTTGTATTTTTTTTTGTTTGTCTTTGCCCTTTTATAGATTTAAAAAATCTGCTTATCTTGTGATCTGTGTGTCTTTCCAGCCTTGCCCTAATGATCAGGAACTTCGAGTTCAGAAACCTTTAATGATATTTATATGTACAACATGCACTTTTTGTTTCATCAGTGGCAATTAAAAACTAGTTTAACTGAACATTTTGGGCTTTTGTCTTTGCAGTTGATTGGATTATTGCAGACATGCTGGCAATTAGGCAGAATGCTCTCGGGCATGTCCGGTATGTCTTGAAAGATGGATTAAAATGGCTTCCACTGTACGGGTGGTATTTTTCACAGGTAAGCCCATGGGTCAAATATGCAAGATGTACTTTCCTTCCATTTATCATATATGCATGGAAGATGTAGTTCTGAGCTGGCACTTGTTTATTTGAACATGAAAATAGCTGATTTCACTCACTGCAGTTACATGTGTATCTTATTTGAGAGACAATTATGAAAGAATCCGTTTACTTTTCTAAATTAATACTTTTTATGAACGGTGTTTATTACTAGAATTAAAACTGTAGAGTGTGTTAGAAGCATTTCAGAATATTCTAGAACTTTATTCTTTTTACAATCTAAAACCCAACTTAGCAATAGGTGTAAACAGACTTTTTTTTCTATGTATGGGTTGGGTTTTTTTTACCATGCTACAGATTGGAAGTAAATTGACATTGCTGTGGTGTACTTATTTATTTTTCAATTGTTTGGTTTTAGCACAATATAAAAGAGGAAAATTGGACTTTGCTATAGTGTGGAGGAAAAGCAGATCCCAGCTTCTGTGGAAGTGTTGATGGTTTTGCTTTGGACTTCAGTTAAGCAAAAATGCTGTAAACTTGAGTCTAACAGTATTACTGTTACTACTTTTTACTTTTCCCTCTTTCTATAATGTTGCTCTTCTTTCTTTTAGTTTGAGAGCTCAACCTGATGTGACTCAAAATTACACAATTACTGAAGAAACAGTGGGCCACAGTCACTGCACAGCCAACATACTAAGTGGATGTGGTCTTTGATCTAAAATGGTGGAGAACAGTGTAGATGGCATTCACCTCCCTAAAATCCTCTCTGAATTTGTCATGTCTGTTCTGTGTTTTTTCTGGAAGCAGGACTGTTTCTATATACAAATGAAATAGAATATAGAGGTGGATGGTTTTGGAATTATTGGTACATTTGGCTAGGTGAACAGAAATGGCTTCATAGTACTTATCTCAGGATTTAGATGGGTGCTTAGTTGTTAGAATAGAAATGGATTAAGTTTTGGGTAACTGTTCCGAAGTACCTGTTTGATAAAATTTTTCTCCTTTGGCTTCTGTCTTTGATTTTTACCTGTTTCCTGAACAGTAGCCTGCTTTCTGCCCATGGCCCTCCACCCAGGCAAAGAAAAGGAAAAAAAACACTTAGAAAAATATTTCTAGTAGAATTAGGCAGTTTGATTGAATTGACTGTCAGCCGTGTCCAAGAGGATAGAATCATAGAATTGTCTAGGTTGGAAGGGACCTTTAAGATCATGGAGTCCAACAGAGAGTCATGGAGTCACCCTAACACTGCCAAACCCACCACTAAAACATGTCCCTAAGCACCAAGTCTACACATCTTTTAAATGCCTCCAGGGATGGTGACTCCACAACTTCCCTGGGCAGCCTGTTCCAATGTTTGACAACCCTTTCAGTGAAGAACTTTTTCCTAATATCCAATCTAAACCTCTCCTGGTGTAACTTGAGGGCATTTCCTCTTGTCCTATCGCTTCCTACTTGGGAGAAGAGACTGACCCCCAGCTTGCTGCAACCTCCTTTCAGGTAGCTGTAGAGAGCGATAAGGTCTCCCCTCAGCCTCCTTTTCTCCAGACTAAACAACCCCAGTTCCCTCAGCCACTCCTCATAAGACTTGTGCTCTAGACCCCTCACCAGCTTTGTTGTCCTTCTCTGGATGGGGGATATTGAGAGAAATACTACACTGGGTATAATTCGAACTATGTATTAGTTTGTAAAGGAATATATGAAGAGTAGACAACTACAGACGTATGTCCAAATAAGGCTTTACTTTATCCCTCATCCTCGGCAGCATGTTCCTAACAGCTTGCACTCTTGCATCCCTAAGTCAAGTCAGATCAGCTGATTACTAGAACCAGCAAAAGGGCGAAAGTTTTGAAGTTTTAAGTATATGGCCATGGGTGGGGAGGCCCTTGTGTGGCAATTGACTCTCAAACTTTGCCTCCAAGAAGCTAATGTAAGTTGAATTGGATTTAGAGAGCATTGGGTACAGATCCATGAACTGCCTAATCGTATGGTGAAGAATAGGAAGCGCCTTAAACGGTGGCCTTTCTCAGCAATCAGATGTAGCTTTGTAGGTACCTAATTTGAGCAGGAGTCTTGGATCATGTGAAATAAGATGCCTGTCTCTAGGGTATGAGCTGTCTCACCATGTTATCTTAGAGCGCAGGCAGCGGTTGAGATGTCTGTTCAGTGTGTAAGGGGTTAGAGTGCCTCTCAAGATATTGGGAGATCCAGGTCTGATGTTTTCAGCTTGATGGTTGAAATGTTTGTTGTCTTCTGGATGAGTGCCTTTGACAGAAAGTAGGCTATAAATCTAGTCAGAAGCAAGGGTGGTTGCCATCCTTTGTTCTAAAATCGCTACGTTTAGAAAAGAATATGCTGCAGAGAAAATAAGAAAACTGTTGATGATTTCTTTTTATTGGTGGGTTTGCTGTCCAGGTCCCCTAAATGAAGTACTGACTGTCACACCCTTTCATACCTCACTGAGGTTATCCGCTGGGAGAAAATAGACTGCTCTGTTATCCAATGCTTGTCCCCATGGACTCTGGTTCTCTACATTGTTCTTGCTCTAAAGTGACCAGTCTGCTGCATGGAAATATTTTGCTCTTTGTCCTTGTATGTAGTCATTACACTGGTGGTGATTTAAGTCGGCTTTAATTAAAATACAGACAGGATATATATTCCATCCACTATCATTAGGTGTCCAGAAGTGACTTTTTTCCAGATTTTGGAAAATTATTATTGCTATCTGGAATATCCAGCACTCAGTTTCCTGACTGCTGTATGGACTGTTAAAAGAAGGTTCCTGTGGAAATTAATCTGAATGTAGCCTACATTTTTAATCAAAACATAGATATTAAATAAAATCTGTTGAGCTTCGGATTCCTCAAAACATAAAACTACTACAAGATTTAGTGGGGGATGATTATACATATTTTTTTATATATATATATACACATATATATATATATGTATATATTTAATTCAGTGGCACAAATGAAAGGCAGGTTACTAACAGTGGTGATGCGTGTGTGTTTAAATGACCAAGACGGGATGCAGCAGGACTGCAGTGCAAGCTAATAGGTATTTTTATTGTTTTTATCACACCAAACAGTGCAAAAACATAAAGCACTTCCTGCCCTTCCTGTTGATGTTCTGTCAGTGATGTCACTTACACTCCACTAAAAGTTTCCAGAGCCACGTAGTTACACCATGCTCACGGAATTCATATTCCCTACCTCAGGTAAACATCCTGTTTGGAAATAAACGTGGTCTGGATGTCCAGGAGAGCGAAATTCAGGCACAAAGGAAGTATATTTGTAAACATAATCCATTGTTGACTGAGAGAGGGGCTTTTAAAGTACAGCGGAAAAAAATTATAACCTTAAAAACAGTACTTCCAGAAATCTGTTTTGAAAAGCGTTCATATATTTGATCTCTTACTGCAAAGGAAATGCAATACAAATTGGGGAATTTGAGCTATATACAATTGCATAACTAGCATTCTTCTTTGGAGGCAGCTATCTAATAGCAAGAAAAGAAAAGAACCACTTAAATTAACCTGTTATGTCCCAGGTTTGATTTATTCGGTAGAGCTATTTCTTTTTATAAAACTGGCTTTATTATTTTTGGGTGGATCTGAAATTTTTTTTTGCCCTATCTTTCTCCACCAAAATGCAGCTAGCTCCTGTTCATCTTATACCACCTGGTGAGGCTGGGATGGAATTCTGATAAATATTTTTGATATCCCAGAGTTTGCTTGACTTTTAATGTAGGAAGTATGTCTTTGTCTTTTCTGTTATTCAGCATCAGCTTGTGCACCCTTTTGGTTGTTAGCGAATTTAGCTAAATATTTATCTAGTATGGCAGCTTGCCTCTCTTTAGCTTTGTAATGCTGTGCCATAGGGGAGCTGACGTATTGATGTAGTTGGGTTGTATGCAGTGAATGGTGATCTTGCAGTATGTAATTTGTCTGTTCTTACATTAAGGGACTGTACGTTTGTATTTACTTGAGAAGTACGGATCTATTTCTGAGCATTAAAAAGTCTGAGATGGGGACACCAAACCTGTCTTTGGTGTTGTGGTGTCCCTAAGCAAACGGTACAACAGTAACTTGATTTCTCTAAGTCCACAAATTAAACAACAAAAAGGTGGTTCAGTATTTTCCCAGTTTACTGCAGCTGGTTTGTAATTTGATAAATAAGTGAAGACTTGATTCCAGCCTTCCCTTATTTATTGAAACTTGACCTAGCTGAGCTCACATGTGATGATGACTTACCAATTACATGGAAGTCTTGTGTAGTAGGTGCATTATTTCTCACACCAAACTGAGTTTGCCCTTCCTGTAAGCAGTTGTGGTGAGTGTCACTGTACAGAAATATTTCCCTTTAATGGTGTCAGATCTTAAAACTGGTCTTACATGTGGAGTGTATAGATAACGTGTGGCTCTCTGTTTGCTGCACAGCTGATGGAACAGTTTTCCGTTCATGCTATTATCTGTCCAGGACTGGTAAACTGCTTGTGGGGTGGTGCTAATACAATGCTCCGGCCTGCTAAAGGTCAAGCTCGATGGACTGGGGGATTCTGTTCTTGGTTTTGGTGCCCTGCCAGCCACAGCAGCACAGCTGAGTGTTGCAGCTGGCTACTTCATCTTGGAAGGGAACCACAGACAACAACGCTAAGACAGAATATTTAATATGGAGTTAATGCACCGTTGACTTTCTGTTCCTTTTCACTGCAAATTTTGGAGAACAACTTAAGTCACGTCAAGTACCACTAGCTAAGCAGCTGCACAGTGGTCTTACCACACCATGAAAAGCAAAGGCTGAAGGCACTTTGCATAACCGCCTCTTCTGCCTGCCTCCTCCTAACCCCTCAAACTTTATTCCTGTCCATGCCATGCAAATAAAATAATAGCTCCACTCACACGCCACCGCCTCTGTTTCTACAATGTACTGTATCTTTTCCTGAGATAGGAGCTTTGAACGACGTTCAGGTCTTAGTTTTAATCTCTAGTCACCTTTCTGTTAAGGGTGTGTAAAACCATAAATAGCCAGAAATTATCTGACAGATCCTAATGCCAATAGTCAGTTAGAAAACCCATGAAAACCATGTACCCTAAAAATGAAATTCTGTTATATGGAAGCTATTTTTTATTTTATTTTTTTTTTTCAGAATTCATTGTCTCAGTAGTCCATTTTGGAGAATGTTTGTTTACATCCTCTTGTAGCTATGCTGTAGATAAAACAAAGTGGGGGAAGAGGGAAATGATGAGGCAAATTTAATTTCTTCATAACCCACTTTCTACGTGTGTACTTTGCCATAGTCCTTTTACTGAAGTTTTTATGATAAGTTGTGTGGAACATGTTATAAAATGAATATTTTCCAGGAAATGGTCTAAATTTTTATAATCATTTTCAGTAAAAATACTTTTATAAAATCTTTTGCCTTCTAAAGGTTTTATCTTACTTATTCAATTATTATCTCAGTATGTAACTTCTTTAACAAAAGTCTGATTCTGTAATAAATTGCATGGAAGTTTTCAAGACTTAGGCTAGTTACTTTTGTGCTACTTATAAATTTTGTATGTATAGGTATAATACATGTAATTTCAGTATTTGCATTAGTAACTATTTAAGAGCAGGCACATAAAATTGAAAACATTGACCTATAAGTACTTGTACGTGAGCAACTTAAGTTGTGTGATTTTTTTTTTTTCCCTTGATATACAAGTTAAGCTGCTTTTCAGTGTTGTCAGGAATAGATAGATCCCTGGGGTGGGTTCCAATGCTGTCTTCCAGTTAATTATTTAACACCTTTAAATGAGACACTTCAGGTGTCTTAGGATATTTTTTTTTTTAGATCTATTCTTTATTTAAACAGATTTTGTGAACTTAAGTACATGCAAATGTAAAATTAGTTTCAGGTGCTTTCATCCTAGGAGAAAATGTCTTGTAGGCAATTTGCAGTGTGAGTCATAAAGGTGACTTGTCGCTGTCGTCTTGTTTGTTCTTTTATCAACTATTCTACATTAAACTACTTAAATATTTAATACTTTTTCTTTTTTTCTCTGTTAGCATGGAGGAGTCTATGTAAAAAGAAGTGCCAAATTCAATGAAAAAGAAATGAGAGAGAAGTTGCGGGCCCAGGTGAAAGCTGAGACTCCGGTAAGATCATACCTTCCTTCCCCCCTTCTCATTTCTTTGACTTTTTTAATGGCAAAGGTTTATTGGAGAAATGAGCCATGCCTGATACCTACAAACTACAAGAAGGTAATAATGGATTTGTTTTCTTTCTATATTTTTACAGTTACTTTCTGTGATTAGAGTGATACCACTAATTTAACTTAGGAAAATTTGACTAGTCTTTTATGAATCATACAAACTTTGCGATTCTCTCTGTAGAGGGCAGGGGGCGTCTGGACTTAATCTTAGAACATGAGCTGTAGCACCTTCCTTGAGAAACCGCTGTCAGTGTTCCCTGTGTTTCAAAAGACAACATTTTGACTACTGCAGTAAGACTACAGTCAGAGACTGGTATTTTTGTAGAATACCAGTTGTTTGATCTTCTGAAAGTCAAGAACGATTCTTACCAAATCTTAATTAGTCATCCCAATGATCAATCATTTTTAATGGCAGTGACATATTAGAACTGAGCAACTTTGTCTGCTACGCCTGAAGGAGAAAAAAAAAACAACAAAAGAACTCGGACTCTTGATAATTTTCTATTTGAAGAATGATTGCTAGTGCCAAGTGACTTTTCTCATGACTCCCTGTATGGTTTGTGGCTCAGTGGTTAGAATCACTGTGCTTCACTTCCATTACTTGCTATGCATTAAAATGTTCTCTGCCTTTTTGGCTAGACTTAAAAAAACCAACTCAGCAAGCCTTGATATAGAACAGTTACGCTTTCTTTTTATTTAAAATGATGTGACTAGGACTTGCCACTCCAAATACTAAGGGGCAAACCTTTTATGAGATGGGGCTTGGGTAAAAGGAATGCATAGGTTGTTTTGACCTTCATAATAGTTGTCTTTTTTTTTTTTTTGAGATAGTGTGTTTATGTTTGTGCGTTTGTGTTGAAAAAGTAAACTGGCCTTATGCTTAACGAGAGGCTTAAATGAGTAAAACATCCCTATTAAAGACAGTGCTCAAACTCATTTTGTCTTAAGATTTAGCATGAACAAGGTTTTTTTGTTTTTAATTAAGCTAAGAAAGTGGATCTATTTCCAGTTTTTAGCGTATAAGTTACAAATGCCAGAAATGCATTACGACAACTAAACTTTCCCTGTCCGATGTCTGATCTAACAATGTCCACATGGAGAAGATGGCCATATTCAATAGTGGTAACTTGTGCCCACATTACCAGGGAGGGTCCTGGGATGTGAAAAAGGCTGCATAGCGTCAAGTTATTTTCTGTGGCAAAGATTCTACTTTCTGCAAAACTGGTGGTGTAATGGAATAAGCAAAGACAAATTGCAGGATGTATGAAACCTATTTGTAGTCATCACCCTAAGCAATTGCTCCCCCTGCAGAGTGCTGGTAACTTTGCTTTAGTTAGTCCTGATGAAATATTCTAGCAGGGTGTTTTCCTGTTGGGGCCCATGGATTTCTGGCTAGCCAGACAGGCAGCTTCTGGTTGATTCTGCCTTTCTGGCTTCCCTCTGCACATCCTAAAATGCAGAAGTGCAGGGATTTGTTGTCACAATAAGGTTTTGATTGTGATAAGAGTCTTGATTTGAACTCTGCATTAAATTGGTCTGCTTTATAAAGATGTGCACTTTTTAAAATACAATCTTAGGAAGATATGCCTAGAAACTCATCTAATTCTGCATCTCTGTAAAACTGCAAATGATGTTCAGTGTTACTCCAATAAATTGACTGGACAGGCTAGTGTTTGATTTTAGCCCTGTTGCAATGTAATTGGAGGTTTAAGGGTAAAGCTTTTCTTTAAAGCTACACCCACCGGGGGTTCTGCGTTCCATGGTGGATGTCTACATGTGACAAATAAATGAAATAAACCCAGAAGGCTTTTTTAATGGAATCAGCTTTCTTCTTCTTCCACAGTTGTGTGTGGATTGAAAACCTATACCTAACCTAACTAAGCTAATGCCATATGAATTTGGGACCACTTGAGTATATTTGGTTTTTGGTGTGATTTGGCTATGTGAGACCTCAGTGGTGTTGGAAATCGGCACAGAACCTGGACGTGATTATGAGGCAGTTGTTGCCATTTTTGTCGTATTATCTAGGGTAGCAGTATAGAAGAGAAATAAGTGTAACTGCTGCAGAAATGCATTCTCTTTTAAATCTCTTTCAGTCAAACCACATAGGGAGTGACACTTAAGTTTTAAAAAAACAAAGCTTCCAGAAGTCTATTTATTGAGACAAATGTTTGCATCTGCTGGGGTAAAAGACACAGACCATTGAGTTGCCATTTGAGGGAAGACTAAATTTTCTATAATCCACTTTATCTGAGAATTTAAATATAGATGCTGTAAATGTCCTTTAACCTACAATTACTACTGGGAGAAGAGCGTGATAACCTGTGTCCGTACTGCATTATTCATGAAGAAACTTTGCAGTTGTGCAACTTAGCGTGACATTTGCAAGCAGCCATATTGCTTTTAAAATGAAGACATTTTAATCAGTAAAGCAAGTACTCCCTGAACTCATCAGCTGCATGTGAAAATAATTAATTTACTGCTCTGGAACTTTTATTAAAATTTATGCACTCGATGCTACAGCTGTGGGTGGACTTTTCCTCAGTTTAGTGAGCAGCTGTTGTTGCTTGGTCATTCTGCATGAATATGGTGGAGTTCTTTCTTTAATGTAGCATTAGAGAAAAGCTTGCCTTTTCAGCTGCTAAGGAAAGAATTATATGCCAATAGAGAGGAGATGGACGGGAATTTGTGTCAAGGGTCACTTTGTTATTTACAGTTTCTCTCCACATACAATTTAAACAAAAGAATCCAAATGATTAATGTTCAGTCTGTCTGGAGACATCCCTGTTCCCATTAAGAAAGTGAAGACGTGTAGAAAGGCAGAACCAGTCTTCTGTTCTCATTAGCGTAGTAAGGCCTGTAGTTGTTTTACTGCCTCATGTCATGTGGTTGGTTTTGGTTTTGGGGTTTTTTTTGAGATGAAAAGTAAATTGGAGGTGGAGCACAGACAGGAAAAATAAGCCTGCCTCTTGGCCTCTACATTCACAGAAGAACTGGATTAGTGATCTGGTGTGCTTGATTTTGTGTGGGGACAGTGGACTGCCTGATGCTCCTTGCTCGCCTTATTGTCTTACAACTCCTACCCACTTGTCTGCCTTAAACAGACCCTTTTTCTGTCCTGCTGTTCACAGTTGGTCCACCCTTCTTCTCAGATTTAGCGCAGCAATGTTAGATGCGCAAAACTCTGATGCTAGACTGAAATGGCCTTGCACTCGTGTTTTCTTAGTGGAGATCTTGGACTAATACATTTTCTTATTTCTGTCTGAAAATTATTTTGCTTCTCAAACTGTCATTGAACTGTATGCTTAAATGGTTCATTATTGGACCTTTTTTTGGCAAAACTCAGATGAAACGATGTGATTTTGTTTAAAATTACATAAAATCTGGTTGATTGTTAACAAATTGCAATCTTATGTCTTGTTGTGAGAGTAGAGACTGTCACGTAGTTTGAAGGACGCTTTTGTTTTAATGTTCTTTTAATGTAATCCATAACAAGATAAACACATTTCTCAATGTAACAACATATGGAACCAATACTTCATCTACTCAATCTACTTGTTTTATAAAGAAAATTGACTCTTCTGAACAGTAAACTATTCAGTTTGATAACTGACAATGTAACATATTTCTTCTTATCATGCATCAAGAGTAGGAAGTCTACATTCTGACATGTGGGATTTAACCCATTACAGCCAATATTTATCTGGTTACTATGTGTTTTGTTTTTGCCATTCATTCAGTCACAGAATAAATCTTTGTCACGTGAAACAGTGCCAATCAAACAGTAAAACCTGGAGGGGACGGATACATTAATACAACTGCTATAGGGCTTAATGTCATTATTTTGTCATATAGTTACTAACTTGAAAATCCCTGACAACTTCTTTGTAAGTCCTGGATGTCGTTGCCTGCTTTCCTCACATCACCTTTTGTATTTTGTTCCAACCTTCCCAGATACGCTTTCAAATACCATATCTTTTTCAGTTATTGAGCTGAGTATTAATGTTTCTCATCCAGTTCACCAGAAGCATATCTTCTAGGCAGTGGTCTGATATGATTCAGATATGAATCTGTCTAGTTGTCAGGATGCAGTAATAATAACAATATTAAAACTAAGCAAATGCATTTTTTAATATAATTTTGAAGTTTGTAAATAAAAATAATTGTTTTCCTCTTGTCACCCACCCAGGAACAGCACAGTAAATGCAAGATGTCTTTAGTCAGTAGTTAGCGCTTCTTGACACCCTATGTCCTTCTACAGTGGCAGCTACTCTCTCCAGGACACCCTCCAAAGCCCTGTCCTCAGCCAGGCTTTCTCTTTATTGCCTCTTCACGCTGTACATGTATTGGTATCTGGGCTGACTTTGTTTTTTACTCCAGGGGCTCGTGTTGCTTTGTGCCCTTTTCCCCTGCTCCACCCATACCAGCTCCTCTGGGGCACTCTGGTCTGTCTAAAGGACTTCCTCGGCTGCCCTTCTCCTTGCTCTGTAAGCATGGTCTTTCTCAGTACCATTGCTATTTCTTTTTGCCTAGGAGATCTTGGCAACACTGGGGAAATGAACAGAGTTGCTCTTTGGGTGAAAACAGTTATCCATTAATTTCGTTTGTGGATTGTGGCAAGTCCACTGCTGTTACACTGGAGACTCTGCGAGTAACCCTTGCCTCTTTTCTTGTCTTCCAGCTCCAACAAGAATCAGTAGGGTTTTACTAAATGAATCCCTATGCACTCCTTGAAGTTTTCACATTGATGAGAGATAGGAAGTGTATTGACACCCGCCTATTACACAGAAACAGGCATGGAAGCACTATGTAACTGAACACAGTGACCTAGTCTGCTTGGGTTAAAATTGGTATATCAGTGAATGAGAGACTGTGGTAATGCAAAATTTTATATGTCATTTTGAACATGAGCACCCTATTTTGCAGTCAGTGTGATAAAGTGCATAACGTTTATGTAGCTTGTTGCCCTAAATGCAGAATTATGTATAAAAAAATTTGCCTTGCTTGCTAGTGTTTCTTGCTTGTTGCTTGCCTTGCTAGGGTTTCTAGGCAGTTGAAATGCTCCTACAACTCAACAGTTCCTAATGCAAGTTCAGGGGAGCTTATTTAGTTATTAAAATCTTAGAGATTTGCAGTTCTTATAATCTTTGGAAATAGTGCTTACGGATTTAGCTTCTGCTGCCCATGGTGGTAGAAGAGAAAAGCCAATTGTAGAAGTAGATTCGGTGAGTTGAATTGCACTGGCAGAGTGTCTTTGTCTTGTGCAGGACTATACATGAGTATAAGTAGGACGTCTGTTTACATTCATGAATTTTACTCAGATAAAGTAGTACTAATGAACTACATATTAGGTTTATGTATGCTGAATTAAGAGCAAAGGCCACTTCTCTGTCTTCTTGGTATGCATTCAATTCTGAGATATTCAGATTCTGGTCAACAAACCTGTTCAGCTGCTGTGTTTTAGAGGTTTACAAGAATAATTAAAACACAATTTCAACATCTGCTTTGTATTACACACTAGGACTGGAGTAAGTAGATACGTTCTCTGTTGTGTAATCAGCTTTTAGTGGCTGATTATCTGCTTTGAAGACCAGTAATGTTGTTGCATGGTTTTAAGTGCTGATTTCTATACCAAGAGTGGTATTCCTATCCTGTGTGCTTCACTTCCTTTGCTCGGTCATTTCCTACCTGTTAGAGCCACTATATTACCCTTTGGAGCTGAGCGTTCGTTCTTTAATGAAGAGGGGGAGTAACCTCATCTTTGAATACCATTTTACGGATCCAAATTAAGTGGTTTGAATATAAGCGCATTTATGAAAAAAATGCTTCTGGATTTGAATATTATACCCTTTCCAGCTAACTCTAAAAAGTTTTACTTAGTCGCTTAAATATCTCAACAGTGTACTTCATAGATGAAATGTATACATGACTGGGGGAAGTGTGGACTTCAGCTGGGTCTAAGGATTCCTGTACTCGCCCTTGTGCTTATGCTACTGTCATATTAGAAAAAAGTAAGCACTTTGTCTCTTAAACCCATTTTCTTTTGTTCTTTCCTCACCAACTCTGTATACATCTTGGGTTTCTGCCTGTCCTTGAACATTCGCGGACTTTAGCTGCCTCTGCAATCTGCCAGTTCTCCCCAAACATGCCGTGACAAGTACAGCCTTTCCTCTAGCTCTCTTTACTCCACTCTACTGACACTGGGTTTGCCACTCTTAATTTTTTGCTTTTGTTTTCTTCTGCCAGATTCTAGCCTATGTACTCAGTTCTCCTCTTTCTTGTCCTCCTGCTAGCTTTGCTGGTTGACATAGTTCCTAGATTTCTTCCCTCCTCTGCATTTTAGCGCATCTTTCAACCTTCCTCACTGTGGGGTGATTCTGGAGAGTTTATTGCTGGGTCCTGTCTTTCTGCATTCAGCCTTTTCTCTAGCTGTTCTGCAATCATTAAATGCACATACCAGCACACTGATGTTTTGTGAGCCAGAAGCACAGTTATATTCCCATGTCTGTCTTCCGAGCTTTTATTTTACTTTGCATCTTTTCATGATGTGCACTCTGACTTGTCATTATCTTCCTGTACTCACTGATAATCCTCCTTTGACTGTTGTGTAAATCCACTGTCTTGTCTTCTTTCAAATATTTCTTGAGACTTATTTCTGCAAAGTTAGTGTAGGCACAGGGGGCACGGTTTTACTGTGAATGAGTCAGTTGACATTCAACTCCACGCTAGTTACCATTTGTGGCAGTAGCCTTTTCTTATGCAGATGAGCCCCCAGTATGAAATTTTCACTTCTAAAGTAATGTTTTACATCAACTTTGTATGTAGGAGATTATGAAAGACACACAGAAAAAAGAGACGTGGAAACCTCTGTTCTGTTTCAAAAGCAAATGGAAAATTCATCAAATTTGACTGCCTCTATTTGGGTACATTATTTTACATTCAGATATGCAGATACTTAGGTAGCCTTTACCTGTGTAATGATTTGAGAACCCATGGATGGTTATTGCTGACTAGGCAAGCAAATTAATTTACTTGGCAAATGTAACTTTGCACACATGCATGCTTGAAGGAATGTGATTTTAAAGTTCAAAATATGCTAAACTGTCAGCTTAAGTTCATAATATATTTAATATCTAATACAGTGAGATGCATAAAGGCATGTAAGATAGCTTATCTATCATAATTTCAATTAACAGTATATCCGATTATGAATGAAATTAAATGCAGATTTCAGTGTGAGGAAAGATTAGATGCAAGATCGGTATTAAAGCAAAAATTATTATTTAGGACATCTGTGACATGTCATGGGGCAGATGCTATGTTTTGAGTTGAATATTACTTGGGGGTCTTTAATTATTTGACTGTCTTCTCAAAATCTCCTCTTATCCTAGTTAACAAAACAGATACTGTTGTTGGTATCAGCTGCTCCTGACTTGCTCACTTCTGTTGACGCTTGCTATCTGCCTTCCTAAATCACCTGGGCAACTTTCTATGGTGTACATTCAAAGAAAATTATTTTGAACCCCAAACAGTAAGTTTCTTAGAGCTAAGAAATTTTAGCTCAAGTATTCTGATTTTCTTTGGACCCTTACAGTAATCAATGGTGGGAACTAAATACAATATGAACCTGTCAAGTGATGAGAATTTCTGTGAAAGGAATTCAGTATAAGAACTTGTCTGTTTTGTTTCTTTTTAATCCCACAGATGTATTTAGTGATTTTTCCAGAGGGGACTCGTTACAATCCAGAAATACCAAAAGTCATTGCAGATAGTCAGTCATTTGCTGAAAAGGAAGGTAAGCAAAAGAAGTTTTGAATCATTCTTTTGTTACGATGTTAACATATGTTATATAAAATTGTTATATAATATGAAGGTGATCTCCCCTTAGCCGGACTGTTAAGCCTGCCTGATTGATACTTATGTGTTAGAATAGCGTAAGCCAGAATTTCACATATTGCAGAGTAAAATGAGAGTAGCTTATATACTGATATTTCATGCATTTCACATTGTGCAAGAGTATTCATTCTCAAGAAAGTTCTCTTTAGGTTCTGTCTGTATCTGGGCATTTATGGACAATTCTTTTCTTGCTTCTTCAGGGACGTAGGAATTGCCTGCACTGGATCAGGGCACTGTTCTCTATCTAAGTTGACATTATAACTCCAATTACAGTCGTTACTCGATACAAAGAATATTTTGCGTAGACGTTTTTGTGCCTTAACAGGAAGTCTTTCATCACATAATTTTTAATTACTGTTAGTACTACCATGGCTTTTTGGTTTTGTTCCCCTCTCACCTTCCAGTCTCTCCCTTCCTTGGTTGAACTTTATTATGTAGTCACTTTGACTGTTGGCATTGTCTCTATAACCACAGATGGAATTACTTCATCTTTGGAAAGGCTTGACAAAAGATCGAAGGGTCCCAAGCTTTTTCATTTTTCTCACATCATGTGCACAATACACGTAAACTTTTAAGTCCAACAGTACAGTAAACACGTTTCCTGGGTTTGTTTTTTCCTGTTGACCGAAAGTGAAATAATTCACTCTGAAGGTAAACAAAGAATAACAAATAGGTCTGGTAAATTCATTTCTGTGACACACTGAAATGAATTCACAAGTCTGTGAATCAGCCTGTTGATATCATCAAGCTATTAAGTATTGTTAGCTCTTGTCCAAAAGGATATATGCTTTTCTTCTCCTTCTTGGGAAGAATGGAATTTGTTTGCGTGCATGAGCAGGAGAGCTTAAGTCATAATGTATTTATTCATCACTTCAGTTTCCTGTCGGAAATGAAAGTCAAATGTCTCATTTAGGTTGGCAGTTCTTTGACAGTTCAGACGGGCTGTTTGATAGGGGTTTTTTCCCCCTCTCTTCTCCCTTTTCAGGGAAAAGAAAAGGCTCTTGTTTCTTGTTTTCATTATTATTTTAATAAACCTCTTAATTGTATCTCTGCAGTCTGCAAAACAGTAAAACACTGCTTTTGTGCTTTCAGAGCACCTGTTCATTTCTTCTAGTGCTTTTCTCTCCGGTATTGGTCTGCTGTTATTTTGTGAGGGTTACTCCTTTTAAAAATTCTCAAGGCAAATATTTATTAAACAGGAAGCATCTCCTATTCTAGTGCAGATCTTTTCCCCATTGATCTGCTTTTCCCCATTGCTAAATTCTTTTGTTGTCAGTCTCTCCTCAACGTTTACGTGGAGAGGATGGCAAACAGCCTGTATCGGACCTTTCTCCCCTGCAAGTTCATGGAAGGATTGATAGTTTACTCAAGTTAGAGCATCCCTTGTACAAGCATGCTGAGAAGCAGGGATGGCTGACACCGAAAGCTGCGTACCGAACTATTCTGATGACTAAGAGCCACCACGCACATACCAGTACGTCAGGGAGTTGCGAGGATGGGGAACTCTGCATGGCCGCTGGCGGGAGATGCCGATAAGTTCATGGGGTCCCACCAAGCCTCTGTGCACCAGTGCCAGCCCTGGCTTGGGGCTTCCACCCAGGAGCCCCAGCGCCACCACAGTCCTGGTTGCTGGTGGCATGCTGGGGCTGCAGCATGGGAGCCGTAACCAAACGCCTCACCAGTCAGTCACGTGTAGATTGAGTGCTGGCTGTGCTCCTTGTAGGCTTGCGAAGGCTGTTATGCGACACTGCTGAGCTGAACTAAAGCCACTCAGTTTCATGCTCGTCTAAAAGATCCCTGGAGCTTCTTATTTCCTACAGTTTTAGGAAAGGTAGTAACGCCCAGTAGCTCTGCCAGGGAGAGGAATGGGAACGTACTGTAACTTCTAGTTTAAAATATGCACTTCATTCCTTGTGGAAATATACAGAAGTCTGATAATTTAGTCTTGTTGTCTTAGTATGTATTATATTTGTTACAGAGCATAGTGCTTCAGTGTTGGTTTTACAGACATGCAGGGGAAATTGTTTGTTTGTTTTATACCTTAAAATGTAAGCTTTATAATGATTTTTCACTACATTTTTGCACAATTTATATGTTGAGAAAATAGCGCAAGTGTAATATTGGAAAAAGTGGTTTAATTAAGAAGAATTAAACTTCATATTTACGTTAGGACCAGAGATATTGCACCCAAAGATAACAAAGCTGTTCCTAGAGCACAAGCATAACTCATGTTTATCATACTGTCTCAAATACTGTTTTTGACATAAGCGTGTGTCTATGCTTTACTAGTTTTGCAGAAGGGAAGTATGAAAAGGTTTTGTGGGATTTGTATTTACTTTTAAATGGGCTGTAATAATTTTACATGGGCTGGATTCTCTTCTACAGAAGGTTCATTGGTTTAAGCAGCTCTTTGGACTGAACTTAATTACCTGGTCTTAGCATGATCAGCTGATGAGCTGCATCTCGTATCTTGATGTTGTTTTTAAGTAAACACCGGCTTTGGACACAGTTACTGCATCTTTACAATTGGTCCTAGGACCAGTTCAGCAAAAAGAAATTTGGGGAAAAAAAAAAAAAGTCTTAGGTTGCCATCCAAAGACATACTTTCACAGTGCTGATTTCAACAATTATGTCTTTCCTCACTGATATTCATATATAAATAAATCTTATCTGCCTGTGAATAGGATGGAAGGATATCAAACAGCAAAAGAATTTAAAGGTGATTAAGACCGCCTTTGAAAGAGAAGCAATTTTTTAAAGTACTGATAATACTTCATGTTACAGTTTGTTCTGCCATAGGACTTGGGTTCTACACAAAACCTTGACTCCTAGCAAAAGCAGATGGATTTCCTCTCTCTCAAACACAGGAAAATCAAGCACACAGTGTAGATCCAATAGATCTGGGTAGGTCTAGATATGAATAAGTTGAGACCGAAGGCCAAAAAGCACAGAGAAACTTCTAGGGAAGGAGTAGGGCCATGTGCTTTCTTGCTATTTTTTGAAATCAATAAAGGATATTGTACTGTAAGAAATGAAACCCATGAACTGGTCTTGCAAATTTGTCATTAACTACCTTGCCAAGTTCAAGTTGAATGTACTGCCAGGTTTTTGTTTATTAAAACTGAAGCATGCCAAAACCGTCTAGAGGTAAAAATGGTAAATTAGGGCATTAATATTCCTGGTTTTCATGTTGGAGACTAACACGTGCATATTAGCCTTCAGCACTGATGTATTTGACACAACAAAACTCTATTCTAATTAATTTGAACTCTATTGTAAGTTCTGTCCACTGTAACTGTATTCAGTGAGATACAGAAAGTTGTGTACTTGAAGGAGTACTGGTTTTATGGTGGTAAACTGAGAATGTTATCATCCAAGGGTAATGCTGGTACCCTCGGAAAGTGAAGATTACTCATTCTACACGTTTTACAAGTGACAGAGCATTCCAGTCGGGTCAGATTTTTACCCAGGATAGAACATGCAGCATTTTAAAATCAAAATACATTTGTTTGATTGCATCGGGAAAGGAAAAATGCACTTCTCAGCAGTTTTAAAAACACAAGCAAAAACTACCTCTCTAAAACTAAGTTATTTGGTTATATGTCACAGGATTAACACAGGACTTATTCATAGAACAAGTTAAATTCTATAAATCATGTATTTATCTTTGTTGGCCAAAATAGCGATGTTTGCTGGGGTTTCACAGCCACAGCTAACCACATAAGCAATGTTGCCAGAATATCAGATGGTGTCCTCTGTCAGGTTTTCACGTTTCTGTTGGAGGCAAATGAAACCTCCCCACTTCTAAACTGATGGGGGTACGTGCCATGTAGCTGGATTTGAACCAGATGCTATCTGTTGTCCTCTCCTTATGGGAAGTAGGTGGCTGCATGACGTGACTCCAGCAATTGCTACCAGGAAGGGCTCTCTTTTTCTCTGGGTTTCGGTATGGTTGGTGACTGTGTGGTTCTAGTGGGACATCTTGCAAAATTCTCATAATCGAATGAGAGAGGGAAATATTTCTCCCTCCCTCTCTCTCGAAGCTCCAAGAATGTGAAGGTGTGTGGTTTGCCGCTTGTCCTCTAAGCTTTTGTCATCCAGCTTTCACTACTTAAGTATGTAGTCAGTAATCTTAGAGTTTGCTTTAGTTTTCCATTGTAAGGAAGTAATTGGCTAATGTGATGCCCATCTTCAAAATCTGGTGCATTCTTTCAGTTGACTTACATATTGGTGTCGCCTTTTAGGCTCTGATCTATAACTTTAGGCATCTTAAAAGTGCAGCGATTCTTCCACGCTAGTCAGTGGGCTTGAGTTGCTGAATCCAGGGAATTATAATATGTAGGCGGCACTCATATTTTCATATGGATTTAACTCTAATCTTGTCATAATGTTAGAAGTGGTAATTTTTATTTTATGTATTCATTTCAAATTGTAAATTTTCTAAGGTTGGGTCTTTTTAATGGTACTAGACCATAGAACAAAATTTCTATAAAACCCACAAAATAGCTTCTTGTATAAATTTTTTTCCATTTATGTTACTAAAATAGATATGTATAGATTTCTGATCATTTTCTAGGAGTTAGACCTCTATAATGTTCTAAACAACCACAACTTTCTTAGGCTTAGTAGAATATGAATTTTATCAAAATTTTAAGAAATGGCATTCTGAAGATTTGAAAATAAATAGGAATGATCCAAAGTCCTCCTACTCCTGGTGTTGCTAGCTGTGAAGAGTCAAAGAGAAAGGGATAAGAGCCTTGTTAAATGTAATTTGGCTTGGTGTTGCTGAATGAAGATAAAACAATCTTCCCTGGCGAAAGGCATTTATGTAAGTTTGTACTAGTGTTTGATTTCTAAGAAAGGTCATTTAATCAAGCAAACATTTCAGGTATTCATTTATTATCTCACTTGTTTTTATGCAGAAAAGTTACAAATGTAAATGTTTTTTAATGCTAAGTTTATCTTGACTAGTATCATGCTTTCTACTAAGATGTTTGTGCGTGCAGGATATGCTTATCTCAAAATTGCTTTTACAGATCATGTAAAAAGGTATTTCAACTGAACTAATCGAAAATGTTTCCCTTCTAGATCTTGGCATTGCTTTTACATTGTGTTTTAAAGCAATCTGAAGTATTTAATATCCAGAAATGTTATTTGGAACAGTCTCTAAAAAATAGCTTTTGGTGATTTTTTTTTTTTGTTTTTGTTTTTTGCCCCCACGTACTTTCATGTAAGCAAGCTTGACGTAAATGTGCACAGTGAGATGTGGAAAGGAGAATATAATTTTTAAAAATTGCGGGGAGGATACATTGCATAGCATTTGAGGGACATACCATTAGGATGAAGAAAGGATTTCTGTTATTGAGAGTCCTCCTTAGGAAATTAAGTTGAGGAAAGCAAGAAGTACCTTGTATTTCTGGAGATAACCATCCGGGAAAAAAGTGTACCAAAGCGTGGCGTCTCCTCTGTTTCACAGTGGGATAGTCATACTTTTCTTGAGGGAATTACTTGCTTTTCATATACTTTAGTTCATGGTAACAGAAAACACTTTTTACAAGAGCGTGCAGTTTTTAAATACTGTGACCAGCTGAGTGTTGTTTATGTGAGTTGATGGACTACTAGCATACAAATGGATGAGCTCTCCCACCGTATGTCATTTTATAAGTCTAACTCTGGACTCTGGTTCCAATAAGTAAGGCTTCGATCACTGGGAACATTCCAGAAGGCTGGTGGGAACTCAGTGTTGCGTGGGTACTTGGGACACCCCAGATTACTGCAAAGCTCTCAGTCCAGTATCTCTCCTGCACACACATACACGTGAAAAAGGAAAATTAAGGAAGAAAGATTTAATTGGTATTGAAATCAATTAATTGTTTTTCACCCTGCTTTCAGTTGTTGTATTACGGTCCATTATAGGACGAAAACCCCCTCAAACTAATTCTGACATCCATTTCCAGTGAGCACATAACTTTTGTGGACGAAATGTGGTAATGGTAATGTAATATACATAAGGTATTCTTAATTTAGAGCTTTTTTGTTGTTGTTTTCATTTAAAAATGTTGTGTGTGCACATGTCAGGGGTACAGATATGACTAATGGAGTCCAAGTCTGAAAATAGAGACGGCCTGCCCGCACTGAACAGCGGGTTTTGGCCTGGATGAAGGGAAGAGGAAGAGAGATCACAGAATGGTCAGGGTTGGAAGGGACCTTTGGAGATCATCTAGTCCAACCCCCCTGCCAAATCAGGGTCACCTACAGCAGGTTGCACAGGAACGCATCCAGGCAGGTTTTGAGTATCTCCAGAGAGGGGAGACTCCACAACCTCTCTGGGCAGCCTCTTCCAGTGCTCTGCCACCCTCGAAGTAAAGTTTCTGCTTATGTTGAGATGGAATTTCCTGAGATCTTCCCCATAGAGTTGTACTCAGCTATTACATATGTAACTTCACCCTGAGAGGTTAGATAAATGGTGTTTTGTTTGGTGTTTTTTGTTTTTGTGTTTAGATGAAAAATGAATTCTGTAGATGTTAATGATTTGGGCCTTTGTACTTCCCAAACTAAAATGTTGTGTTGTTTTGTTCAGTTTTCTTGCAGACTTTCTAAAGTAATTCTGCATCTTACTACAGTCTAGTAAATAGTAGATATTTGAAGTACCATTGCTCACTGTATTTCACATTATTTTCATAATTCTTTTATGTCTGTTTATAATTTAAAAGTTTGCTAACATAAAAGAGCAAAGCTATAGCATTTTAAGGTAGAGTATTACGGTATTAGAAATCTAGTTCATTTTCTTTGGCATTTAAAATAAAATCTCATGACCTCAAATACTTTGACAGAAAGTCCTAACTTAGTATTGCACAACATTAAAAACAGTTTAAGCACAGTGTGTTTTGTGAATTGGATGCAGGCAGCTTGCCAAGGTAACTATACTGTAACTACTTGGGTTTAAATTCTGTTATGTTGATTTTAGCAAAGATCATGAAGTAACTGCAAGAATGTGTGGTTAATGTTTTTATAAAACAGATTTTTTTAAAAGGATGTGCTGAACTCTTGTTGTTGCTGCATGTTTGTCATGCACCGGCGTGTTTCTGAATAATGGATTATGAACTTTCTTTATTGATTTTAATTAGATGCATACTCATTTTGTACTTAAACCTTCAAGAGTTCACTGGTAGCGCATGGAGTAAGAGGGGCTTATTCTACAATTGCGCTTCACAGATTGTCACTGGGCATATTCATCACTAAAACTGGCCGTGGATTCAAAAAATTGAGCACCAGATACTCTTAGATACTTAAATTAATTTGTCTAGAGGATTCAGTTCTCACTGAAGCCTGTTTTTCCTTTTTCTTCCCCACAGTAATAGTTTGCTTACAGGGAAGATGAGTTGGGCGGGAAAGAAATAACAGTGTTTTTAGAATAGGTTTGGGAATTTGGATCAACAAAAGTTGCATTGAGTGGAACGTCCACTCTAATATGGTTGCTGACACAATGCTAGAATATTCAGTGCTTCATTTACAGAGTAAACATTTGGAAACATAACATAATTAGCTGTTTGATGTAACAGTTCACAAGCTAAGAAAACACTACCACCATGTTATGCTTCAAAATATTTACATGATCCATATAACATTTTGCATAGACAGTTATCACTATTGCCGGTAAAGCTCAGAACAATGACTTCAGAAGGAGTGCTAGTAAATAACCTTTTATCTCTGTGTTCAGACAAGGAGATTCTTAGCAAATATTAAGAAATCAAGATAATGATTTATACTGAAATTTTCAAATATAAGAATGTTAGAGCAGTTTAGAAACTAGCATTATCTTACGGAGTTCAGTAGATATTTTCATAATTTTAGATCAAAGTATGCTTTGCCCAGCAAGGGAGAGAAGTTCAGTGCAAAATCGGGACATAATATAATATCTTTTGAGTTGCTTTTGCAAGCAGAAAAATATCAAAAGCAATACCACAATACTTTGGTTTAGAAAAATTTCTTCTTTATGAGGAACCAGTAGCACCAATGGGTGGTTCTTTAGAAGTGGATTGAAGACTAAGTTGTTGAAAAGTAAGGGTAGAAAGGAATAATTGCAATTTTACTCTGATACTTCTTTTTAAGAAAGATACACATCTTATAGCGAAAATTTTTGCATAATATGCTTTTTTTTTCCTAGAAGCACTTTCAAGTTAGTGTGGAAGAGCTGTGTTCAGATCATGAAAAGGTTTGAGGGTTTTTTGTTTATTCTCATTTTGAAAGTCATTGTATGTTAAAATGCTGAAAATAGAATGGAATTTATACTTTTGAGCCCAGTGTATTTGTATGTTCTTCAGTATGCTCTAGGTGGAAGTAGTCAGCTGAAGCAAGCATGGTTATGAAATGCTGTTAAGACTTGCAGAGTGCTGTTAAACCTGATGTTCTTGTGTCCTTGTCATACCAATCTCTGTGTGTTGGCCTCAATGGTTAAGGACAACAGTTGATTTCTCCGACTGTGGATTTGTTAGTAGCCAAGTCAATTGTGATAGGTTGTTTGCAGGGAAACAGAGGTCTCCTCCTTGCTGTCGGTTCTCAGTGCTCTATTATCCCCTTCCCTGCTTAGTTTTCTGCTGGGATGGTGAGTTGAATCAGCTGGTGGGAGGGGGGTGCCAGAGCAATACGAGGTTGGCAGCAGGAACAAGCCCACAGAAAAGAGCAGTAGATGAAAGAACTGCAAGGATAAAATGGGATGTCCCATTTTCTGTAGCAGCAAGTCATTGCAGTGGGCTGAAGCTGTTGAGTCTAACTGCTTTCCCCCATCCTTCCCCAAAGTGAGGACCCTCAGAGTAACCATATCTAACGTCCCAGAATGTGCCAATAGGCAGAAGGAAGCAAAAGCAGGGAAAGCTGGTATCTATAATAGAAAATGGCAAAACGTGCTGAAATTTCTGATGGGGTTGGTAGCTTTGGAGAAATATAACATCCTGTTTAAACATGTGTAGTTTAAGACAACCACTGTTTTTTTACAATGGTGCAGTATTAGAGTTCAGCATGTAGACAAAATTTGTTTGTCCTTTGGAAGTAAAATGCCAGATGAGCATTAGGCGTGCTTAAAATTATCTGTGCTTATGTCTGGCCTAGCAAATCTGTTTCTGATACAGAATTTTAGGAGGCGATGTCCTGTGAGTTTAGTATTTCTCAGGTAATTTGCTCTTTTTTTTTTTTTTTTTACCTCAGTTGGACAAACATAAACAGTAAAGAGAAGTGCTGTTTCATTACTCATAAACCAGATTAAAAACATCACTGCTTCTAGAGCAGGAGCTGTAAAAAGGGCTCTTTTGTTGAGCAGCCTTTTTGTAATATGCTTCAGAATTTGTTTCATCTTCTGCATGTGCTCAGTAGAGCATATGCAGTGTGCACACGTGCATGTTCTCTCAACTGAGAATTGAGATTAAAAATAAACCTTTTGTGATTTTTGAGTGAGGGTCCTGAAGTTCCTTGACATGGTGTTCATTTTGTGAACGTAGTCCAGTTTACTTTCCGAGACTGTAATTTATTATTTTTTTTTCCCCTCCTCTAGGTCTTGCTATATTAAAGCATGTGCTAACACCACGCGTGAAGGCAACTCACGTAGCCATTGACACAATGAAAGACTATCTGGATGCAGTGTATGATGTGACTGTAGCTTATGAAGGTACTGTGGACCACAAAGGGCAAAGAAAACTGGCACCGTCTATGACAGGTGAGTTGATGTATACTAGACATGCTACAGGATTATACTTGTTGATATACAGAACCAACTTCAGGTGCTTTGTATTGTATTGCTCTGGAGATAATGTCCGCAGAGCTTCAGCCATGTCACTGCACCTTGGTAGGGCATTGTTCATCAGGGACTAAGCTTTACATTAGTTACCTGTAACATTCCTGCCCTCCTCTTCCCTATTCCATGCAGACAATATTTCTGTAGTCAAATTCTGCATACGAATGCTCTTCGGAGTTAAAATTAACTTGGGGCCATAGGCAGCAGGTGCCATTTACTTTCATGTTTCTTCTAACACTGGGATTTGGCATCATTGTAAATTCTCTGTCCTTCCCTCTGCTGTGCTACATGTGTGTACATGTGACATAGTTGCTGACAGGCATGTATTGTAAAGGGAAAATGTGTAGTAATAGTATTTTACTGGCAATTTTCAAATTGCTACATATAGCCGGTAACCTTACAAACACTTAACAGCATTTTATGCGAGTGAGCTTTACTTGCTGTAGTATTTTAAACCACCTACAATACCTTGAAAGAACGGGATAAATTCATTGCATGTCACTCGAGTAATCTAACCCAAAAATAAGTTCTGGGGTTTCTGTTGGGGAAAACTCTGGGACAGAAAGCTTCAGGGTTTGCTGACTTTTGATTGTGCTTGGTGGTGGATTATTTCTATTTATTTATTTAATTCATTTATCTGCATCAATGGAGGGCCGTACATCATCTCTCTTTCCAGTTGTAGTTGCTGTGTTACTCAGCCATATCTGTGTACAACTCTCTGTTGCTAGTTGGCTCAAAGTGGTACTTTTTTGAATCTTTTGCACCTCTGATACCAAAGGGGAAAAAAAAGCCACAGTAGTTCCACAGAGCTGTTCATACTTTTGTGCAAGGGATCAGTGTTGGCTGAGGAACCTGCAGGGCACTTCTTAGCTAACTCCCCGCTCCTCAGCTAGCCCAGTGTCACTGTGTCACTGGGACTTGTTCCTTCTACTGCTAAAAATAGTTTGCAGTGTGGCTGTTTCCATGTCACTTCACTATCGGGTGTAATTCCTTGAGGTGGTGTGAAGTTCACATGAACTCCTTGCAGGTGCTAGTTGCTTAGAAGTCCTGGAATTATCTGTTTTTATATTTTAACCATATTTAAAATTCTTCTGGATGGGTGAGCAACAAAAGTGTGTATTAACTGTGTATTAACTCAACACTTATGTAGTACTGTAAGGTCTTAGGATGGTTTTATTTTATGTACATTTTGTTCCCAACAGGCATTTTTGTGGCTAAATATCAAAAGCGTGTTTTATAATTTAACATTTTTTATTTATCATTTTCTTTTGAACTTGATTTTACAGAATTTTATGATTTAAAGTTTTGGGTTTTTTTTTAAAATACATTGTGACCTTCTTATAGACTCACTTGAAGACTGGCAGTCTCCCTCTTGTCCTGTCACCCAACCCTTTTCGAGACCCCCTGTGAAACAAATAGTTGTTTCCCCTTCCCTGCAGCATATCTTGTTTCGTGACTTAATAATTAGGCAGTTTCAGCCATTCTCATGCTGGACTTCTCACTGCCTGATGGTTAATTAAACTATTAAAATGTCATTACCTAATGATAAGATGGCAAATGTTCAAATTCCTTATGAGACCTCTTCACCTATTGGACCTCCCAGTTTGCATGAAGCATGATATAATTATAGAAAGGGATCCAACAAACTGAATTTCCCTGTTGGCTGTTTCTTGTGTCCATTGTCAAGTGATAATCAGATGATTTGGGGTGGCTACTCCACATGCAGCCTTTTGGAGACTCCACAGCAGGCAGTCCAGGCATATCTCTCAGCCACCCTTACTGTTAAGGCTGGATAAAAATACGGGCAGTAACACAGAATGAAGTGCAGCCAACTAGTTGTTACCCATTACAGAACAGATAAATGAAATATCCATCCAGGACATTCCACACTATTGTGGCAGTCGCATGTATTCCATATAATATAAATTATGTAGATTAAGGACACTTTATAAATTACAGTGTGGAACATAGTTGTCATTCTTTTAGGCCCTCCAGACACAAACTGGAAGAAAAACAATTTTTGTTCTAAGAGGTCAGGATCATTTCACCATTTGTTATGCAAAAGTCCAACGATTGGTCTGTTCAGGAATATAGTATAACAAGAACTGAGTTACACATTGTTATGCATTGGAGATTTTTCAGCATTATCGCTCTTTTACAGTACTAAAATTAGTTATAAAGTACCATTTTCACGTGTGCATTTCATGTGAGCATTTCATATTCGTGTCAGTGCTGAATGAGAATTTTGTTTTTCATTCTCATCGGAATAAAATGGCAGTGCAATCCTGGTAATTTTTAAAAGATAAGGTTGACATGTCTTTTTCAATCTAGCAACTCTGATTGAAATTTATTGCATGGAAAACAAACTTCTGATAAACACAACTTTACTTGAGGACTGTATTTCCCATAGTATGACATTTCCCATGTGAATGAAAACTGAATTCCATGCAGATATAATGTGTTTCTTGAAATGCATTTTACTTTCAGTTCTATAAATCGCAGTTCCTCAGAAGAGCTTGTGCGACTTCTGGAAAAAAAAATGTATTTACCCAGGGATATTGTCAGCTCTTGGCTGCTGTCTCCCGTAGTAAACATAGCAGGTTAAAAACAACATTTTAGTGACTGTGAGTAGCACTACCACACTTTACCTGAGAAATTGTGTTAGTAGAGTGTAAATGGGGAAAAAAATCTGAAGAAAAAATGAATTGCATTTTAAATTTTGTAACGTGGAACTCTTAATGTAAATAGCTTTTCTTAGCAAATTTTTTTTTCAATCGGGCAAGCTTAAATGCCATAATGTTGACTTGCTCAACAGGATTAAAACAAAACATAGTATACTAGCAACTGGAAAATAGACATTCACCATCCTTTCTGCATTAGTCCTTTGAGAAGAACAGTGGATGCCAGCCACACCTGATAACATGGTAACTTTTTAGAGCAGGCAAATTATTATAGTATTTCCTTTCAAATGTGTTGAACTTCTTGTCACTTTTTATGCATTTTAATGCTTTGTTGGCACTTTCCAGCTGCAAGTTGTTTGTTTTGGAAGACATCAAATTTGATTAGTCTTAGACAGGGACTAAGATTAGATTAGCTTTAAACAGGGACGTTGCTTTCTGCTAGTGCTTCACATCCAAAGGATGCATATTTTTTTCTACCATTTATTCGTTATTCATTCCTTTTTGTTCCAACAAGTTTGGATCTTGATACGTTTCCAGTGGAAACTTGTCCTGCACGTGGCAGCCTTTCTAAAGAATAGCCATTTCGCACAGATTTCTCCCCTCTCACTGCTGAAGATGGTTTGTCCCGATTGTTAATGACAGAATGTGATGGTCCTGCTTAGGGAGGACCGTGATGCTATACAGTATTTATTTGCAGTCATTAGAATAAGATGCAAATAATCATATGGGCACTGTGGCACAGCTGAAGTGCATCTCAGGTACTGAATTCTGAAGAACTATTTAGAAGGGAAAAGGAAGGGGAGAAGCTCTTGTGCTGGATTTGTTGATATTATTTTACTCCACTGTCATTAAGTAAAAAGTAGAAATAAGCTTGGGAAGAAAGAACAAGAACCTAGTTTTCTCCCTTCTGAGTGAACGTCCTAAGCGTTCACATCCAGCTTTGCCTGGTGTTAAGGGGCAGGTCTCGTGGAACGTGGGAACTGTTGTCATTCTTGCACCTGAAAGATCATTATGTACACATCTACATCTTTATTATTCTGCCTGAAGGCTTTAACATAACCAGATGGTATTTATCTGGCCATTGTAGATGAAAGAGTGTGTGAAATAACAGCATGTGACAATGATAAACACTGAATAAAAATAGCAAGTATATGTAGACTCTGTCTTAAAGAAGTCAGAGGAATTCCTGAGAATTATTGACTCTGCTGTATATCAGTTCCAGAACAAACACTTTGAAAGTGTGTGTATGTGTGCATTTCTGAAAATCCGTACATCACTTTGATCGGTATAATTTGAGGAGGTCAGACTGGCCTAACTTCCCTAGGGGAAATTACACTTTTCCAAATGCTTGCACTTTTGTTGGGACCCAGTTAGACAGTGAAGTACAGGACAATAGAAAAGAAACTGGAGCAATAGAAACCAGTCTTTGTCTGGACTGTGGCCCAAATTTGATCACATCCGTTGTCTTTCAAGGTCCGAAGAATGGTAACAAGCACATGGTTATAGATATGTTGAAGGAATTAAAAAACTAAATTGATAAACTGATAAACAGTAACAGCAATGTAAAACAGCCCAAAGTAAGATTTATGGTGGTGAAATGACTAATAATCGTCTCAAATCTCTGCTAGCTATCATGTTTTTTATTGTGTGAAAGAGTATTGGAAAGTAAAGGGCAATTATTTTAGAGCAACCGAAGAAAGGATGTAAGTTAGAACTGAGGCTGGACATCAGCATTGGTGAAATCTGCATTAAGTGTGGGATGGCTTTTTAACATGTATAGTAAATCTCACATCAAGAACTTGTCATTCTGCATCTGTTCAAGCAAAATTTAACTAACTACCTTTCATATTTCAAAATGTAAATTTTCCATTGAAATATATTTCAGGAATTTTTATAACAACACTAGCTAGCAACATAGTTCTGTGATATTCTATCATATATTTTTTTCTTTAAAGGAAAACCCTGGTTTTATTTTGTTTAAAATATTAAAATACAACTTTTTTAATAACATGATTTCACCAGGTACCACAAAGTAAGTAAATTATCGTTCAGGTTTAAATTGAATGCATTTTCACTTGTCTTCCGTAGGACTAGGTCTGTCATTATAGAAACCCTGTAATTTCCTATTAAAAGTAGTTTGAGTAACATGAAAGCAGATCTGTTTATTTGTGGATGACTTATTTGAAATGGCATTTTGAACACAGATGTGGACATATGCATCAATATTCTGCAGATAACGAT